TGAAAAATTAATTTGCTGATTTTTCTGAGGATTTCAAAGTAACTTGAGTGTCTGCAGACTATTTCACCCCAAACATTAACAAGTCAATGAGCATTCTAAGAAACGACTCTATAGAAGTATTTTTTGTTGTTCTAATGTACCTCTTGCTTTTCCCACCATACCAGGAATGGAGATAGTGCACAAGAATGGTGAAAAAGATACTGATAAAAACAAAGAGTTATAGTATTAAAACTCAGACTAACTAATTAATAATAATTATGGGCCATCAAGTGAATTCTGACTTATGGCAATCCCAAGTGACCTTCTGAATGTGTAAAGTACTCAAAAATGGTTTACTAGTCCCTCTTTGGGGTGGCACTCTGAAACTATGCAGGTCTTCTAAGGCCACAAAAAACTGGTTCTTCTCCTGGAGGCATGGTGGAAAATCAAATTCCTGGCCCCAACTCATTCAACTCATTGAGCCATCTAGCCAACTAAAACCCAGGTTGTGTATTATGTGCGGACAGGTCAGAATCAATTTATAACAGCTAGACGTGGGGACGAATATAAAAATGGATTGCAATATTTGTTGACTATTGCTGATTTGTTGGATATTAATCCCTCCATATTTGTCAGTTCCAGAGTCTCTGACAAAAACAAAGAGACAAATATAACCATTTTATATTTGTCCATTTGTACCAAATTCTCTCTCTGTCTATGCCCCTGCAGATCAGCTATTCCTTGGGGGCATAGGCAGAGAGGGAAGCCCTCTCTGTCTATGCACCTGCGGATCAGCTGTTCCTTGGGGGCATAGGCAGAGAGGGAAGGCTAGGCTGCTGGAAGGGAAACCTAGCTGCTGTTTGCAGATACTGTATAGTAGTGGTCCCCAACCTTGGGCCTCCAGATGTTCTTGGACTACAACTCCCAGAAACCTTCACCACCACCTCTGCTGGCCAGGATTTCTGGGAGTTGAAGTCCAAGAACATCTGGAGGCCCAGGGTTGGGGGCCACTGCTGTATAGTGAGGGGGTTTCCCTTTGGGCAGCCAGGAGGCTTGTCCTGTCTGTCTGCACCTGCAGATCAGCTGTCTTTGGAATGGTGTTTTTGCACCCCTGCAAAAGCCATGCACTAAGGGACCCATGGTTTCTGTGTTGTAATCTATGGACACAAATGGGACTTACGGTTAAACAGTGGTTTGGGGATGATCCTACATCAAAATCATGTGGACCCATAAATCTTTTAGTAAACTGGGTAAATGTAGTCATGAATAAACCAGGTGAAACATGCTTTAAGATCATTCAAAGCCACAAAGAGGGAAAAAAAAACAGAAATTCGACGGCTTAAATGAGTGAGCTGCTGTATATCTTTATCTGTTTTTAAAAATAACTTTTAAAATATTTCCACAGGCAGAGCTAAGAATGCGGAAAAAGTTAAATGATTTTTTTTTCACACTGAAGGTCATGGCGGGGTTAAAAGTGAAAGTTATCTGTTTAATAACTTTTAAAATATTTCCACAGGCAGAGCTAAGAATGCGGAAAAAGTTAAATGATTTTTTTTTCACACTGAAGGTCATGGCGGGGTTAAAAGTGAAAGATACCTGCCCTGTGGGCTGACTGGAGGGGGTTAAAAGTAAAAGATACCTGCCCTGTGGGCTGACTGGAGACAAGTTCTGATTGGCCAGAATGCTATGCTATGCAAACAGGTCCTTCAGAAATCTCAGAAGTTATTTTAAAAAGCAGTGATTTCAGAAGTTTTTGAAGTTTAAAAGTAGTGATTAAAGGGTCTGAATTAAAGCCAATTTGTAAGGATTAAGAAAAAAGAGTTTAAAACAGAAGTTTTTCTCCCCAGATATGCAAATTTTGTCTTACCTACATTTTTCATCTCTTTTCTTCTAGCTGACAAAATGGTCACTTGGTTCTGCACTGGGGTAAAACTGTTACTGTTGCTGGGGTAAATCTGCTACATCCATGCCAAATTTGGTTTCCACTTTCATTGGTTTTTTTTGTTTGGGGCACTCCTTGATAGTAAATCTCAGATTCCTTGGATTTAAGAATTTCACCCACTTTCATTGGGTTTTTTTGTTTGGGGCACTCCTTGATAATAAATCTCATCTCAGATTCCTTGGATTTAAGAATTTCAGGGTAGTAGCTTTTGATAGGAGAAGCAGCAGCCTAAAGATATGGGTGTTTATCGTGGTATTATTCAAAACAATATATTCCAAAACAGGAGCGCTTAATCTGATTTAGTGCAAAAACCATAAAGTTGTAAAATCTTAGAACTAGTTGCTACTAATCTGCTATTGCCATCATTGCTCTCTTCTGTTACTCTTTTGAATAAAGAATAAAGTAATAAGGAATTGAAAGTAGTGCATGAATTATTACTTCAATGTTACTGCTGGCTAGGTGCTGTAAAAGGGAAATAATAAATTCTTGGCTGGCACAGAGTCTGTTGAAGTACTCCTGTTAACGATAGGTTATTTATGGCATCCTCCTAAATTTTTATTTCTTCTGTTCCTGCCCTTCCGTAAGCATTTGCACAAGTCTTATGTTTCACATTTACTTGTACACTTACTTTAAAACATTTCAAATAAATTTATGGACAGTCATTGCTAACCATGAGAATATTACATTTTAAGTTGTGGCTGTTTAACAGCTGAGGATGTCATGTGTTTTGGAGAATATGATCTAGGGTAGTATTAATACTGTATATTTATTTGCAAATATTAAATTTTTCATTTATTTGTCAATGATTAAGAGTGTGCAGGTGTTGCTGAGACCCATTGGGGTAGTAGCACTTGGCAATAGCAGACTTTTTTTTTGCCACTGGTAGGCAAGGAGGTGCAGTGGTGAAATAAGACATATGCTGAGGGAACTCCATGCAGATTGCTGATGGTGGGCTTCGCCAGCCAAATAGTGCCTGCAGAGGAGCCATTAATGGTAGTATAAATGGTCTGGGGAAGATATGCCTCTGCTGAATTCCACCACAACGTCATTGCATATGCAGGCCTATGACTAAGGTAGTGATATGCGCCAGTATTGGACCTAATGATTGAAATTCAGTAGTATGGTAGAACTAGAGAATGTCCATTGTGAAGATTTAGTGAGTCAACATTTATGTACATGGTAGAACTAGAGAATGTCCATTGAAACAGTGAAGATTTAGTGAGTCAACATTTATGTAAGTTACATTGATTCAATGAGCTTCTTCTAAGTTGTTAGTTACTGTTGGATTTCAGCCAGTGTGGATAATTTTCTCATTGATTCCAGCAGGAAGAAACAAGTAGAATAAGGGTTACTTTCATTGTGTATCGCAACATGTTGTCAAATATTCTCATGAGGTGCATGAGAAGCCCCCCCTTTCTTCTTAAGTAGTGGATGACCTTGATTTTTCATGGTTCTATGACACTTGAAGGGCCTTCACATGTGGAGCAGAAATGTGCCCACTTCAGGCTGTCACTTTCTTCATGTGGAAAAGCTTTCCTGTGTATTCAGATATCCCCTTTTCTGAATGCCTGAGGGAGGTTTATGTTTCCTCCTTTCTGTCTGATTTGAGGATGGCTTAGATAGGATGAATTTATCAGTGACAGATCTTGGCAATGATTTTCTAATCAAATGATTTGTTGCCTCATATACTTGGAATTAATCTGATGATCCTAAATAGTGTAAGTCATGATGAGGACTCAAGAAGCTTAGGTAAGAGACATCTTCTTGCACTGGTGATACAGGACAGTATATAATATTTGAACAACTACGATGTTGCTTCTTATTGGTAAGACTTGCAAAAATTTAAGAAAAAAGAGATGGGTTTGAAAAGAGCAAAGAAATAAAGTGGATTTCTTATATGGATATTTGTTTTTGATGCTCATTCAGTATCCCATCTTATCTTATATATGGTGTAAGGTAACTGGAGTAACCAGGATGAAGGCCAGGTTATTACTATTTTTTTAAAAGGCAAGAATCTTATTGATTTTCATACATGGTCTGTGCAACTTACTGCAGCTGGTTGCACCTAAATGACAAAATGCTGTGGCATGTTTTGGCTACTTGCCTCTTTGCTAAATATGGACATGAACCACCAATTCAGCAGTTTGTGCCAGTTCATTTAGCAGCTTGAACAGGTGTTTGGTGCTTCCGAGCCCTGCCATTCCGGTGGACAGCCACTCAGAGGCATTACATTAATTTTAAAAATATTTATTTATTTATTTAATTCATACCCCACCCATCTAGATTGAAGTCTACTCTGGACAGCTAATAACAATTAAAAGAATAACAATATAAAATAGAACAACAACATTAATACAATTGAAGATGGCAATAAATAAATTAGGTATTGACAGGAGGGAAGGCCTGTCTTGAGTTTGTTCTTAAAAACACCCAGTGAGGGAGCCAGACAAATTTCTGAGGGGAGATTGTTCCAGAGGTGAGGGGCCCGATTTCTTGTTCTTTCTCTCTGGGACCTCCCTCGGTGTTAGGCCCCTCAGCTGCCCATCCTGGCTAAAGTGAGTGATTCGGGTAGATCTAGGTGGGAGGAGGCGTTCTGCTAGATATTGAGGTCCTAAACCGTTTAGGGCTTTATATGTCATCATTCATACTTTGAAATCAATGTGGAAATGAACGGGCAGCCAATGCAGGGCAGCCAGAGTGGGGGAGATATGCTGATGTCTTCTCAACCAGTAAGAAGTCTGAAAAGTCTTTGGAATGAAGAGATAAGGGGAAACAAGGTTTTGGTGCTGGAATTTGTCACTATTATACAGTACATCTCTAAAATAGACTTTGTCTTCTAGCTGCTCTGGCCTAGTGATTGAAACAAGCTAGAAACATGTGTCTATATGTATTCTGTTGCAAAACATTCTCTCCGATTTAGAATTCAGTTGGATTTTGCCCTGGGTGTTGCTGGTATTTATGCCAGTACAGTACTTCATACCTCCCTTCTATTAATCCTGACAACAAATCAGTAACTGAAAAGCAATGGAAGTTACACATATCACAAATGTTTCTAATATTCTGTTCTTTTATTTTCCAGAATAATGGTTCTTTGGTCTGGTGCCAGAATCACAAACAATGTTCAAAGGTATGGAACTTCTTTTAAAATACACAATTTTTACCAGTTATTTCTCTTGACAGTGTATTAATGCAGTTCTGTATTGATTACTAACAATTTTTTTGTACTTCAGGCAGTACATTATGTTCTCCCCCTATTATATTCTACCTCTTTCCCACAACACAGCAAAACTCTGTTATCCTCTTTATTTAACTGTTTTCGACAGTTCAATATATAGACTCACTTCATATATGTATACAATTTCTTACTGTGTTAGTTAGTATCACTTAACATGCTTAATTAGGCCAGACTAGCTGAGCTTATTACTAGTTCTTACATGAGCTGAAAAGTGCTTAATTGTATTTATTCTACCCTCAATATTTTTCAAGAAACATGTAGTTGATTTTCTTAACAACTGCTAGATATTCCAACTGCCATCTTTGAGTCCAAATATTTTTTCTCTGGTAGTTTAATTTCCAAAAGGGTTAATTTCTTTGGAGATTTTTCCTGATCTTACTTTTGCTTTTTTTGTCTGTGTGTTGACTCTTTGACCCTCCAAAGATTATAGCGTAAATGAGCTAATAACCAACTGGAAAAGGATCTTGCTAAGTTGCCTGGAGAGAAACAACTATGATTCATCAGCTTTAAAGGGTCATAGTGGAGCTACAGGGCTTAGTCCTTGGCTGTTCTTTTCATGTTCAATGCTGAGTGCATCTATTTGCTACTTTAGAAATTCACCATCAAAGCAATTAAATTTGTGTTCTGAGGGGAAAGATGATGTACTCCACAGTACACTGAAGCATACAAGACCTGTATTTCAGAATAGTTGACTTTTTGAAGCGTCTGTAATTAATAGGGATCACATTCCCAAAACATATATGATGCTATAAGCAGTGATATTTGGTGAAGAAGGGCATTATTTGTTTTACAAATGGAATCATATCACACAAAGATAAAAGGTTAATTAATACAATCCTTTCTGCAGTCCTCCATTATAATATTATTATTGGGTAAAGGAAAAGCTTAATTTCTACTCTTAAAAATATCAGCTGTGAAAACATCACATAGGCTCCTGATATTCTAGCGAAGTTCCCTTTCTATGTGAAAAGGTGTTGGAAATTTTTCTCAAGGTAGTTTGTTCCAGTAGATTAACTGGATTCATTTTAGTTTGAGATTAGCAGTTTTCTATCCAAAGGGATTTCTGAGCAGAAAATATTTTAAAAGTACCGTAAAATTCTTTTCACCCTTTGGACTGAGCAAAATCATAGCATTGTGAAACAGAGGACATCTGCCATGCTTGTTACATTTTATATTCTGATATAAGGACAAACACTTTAAGATAGGCTTTCCAAACTCAATTTCATGAGAAATAAGGAATAGCAACAGTGCTTATCTCTGCTCCTGATAGGTGCTGATACGAACAGATTGTGAGAAGCTGTCTCTCAAAGGCATGCAACCCTTTTCTTTTTGAATGAATTATAGAACTACAGTATAAACATATCATGAAATTTTACGTTTATTTTGCTTTGCTTTTGTTATACACACTGAAAACAATGAAAATCTTACATATGCATTTGTTCAATTTTATATGCTCTGAGTTAAACAAAAAAGGGAGAGCCAAATGAAACACTTTTTGAGTTAACTTGCAGCAACATTATGTAAAGTGAAACTGTGTCTGTAATGCATGTTAGAAGGTTGCTGAATCCCTTTAGAAAATTTTACTTTTGTCATCTTTGTTTAGAAGTTTTCATGCTACTTCCTTGTTTTAAGTAATTACTAATGCTGAGACAATATATACATTATTTTTTTAAAAAAATAAACTGATTCTGAAAAGACTTTGGAATGAAGAGCTAAGTAAAAAAATAAAATAAAGTAAAATAAAGCACCTAGAAATGCAAGATAAAAGTTAAATCCATCCACTTTCAAAGTCAGTGTTAAATATGTGGACACTTTGCTAAACTGTTTTACACAGTACTGTAGAACCCAAACGACCTTTTGCTTTTGTTAACAGTCAATTAGTTAACAAATATGTGTTTACTGTACTTACCTCACTACTCTAATTCTGTATTTCTGATCATGGATTTATATGGTTTGTTACCCTCACAATTCACTACCATGGTTTGGTAAGTGTTTACTTTTGCTGTTGGATTACATCCACTGTGGTGGAACATGACTTTCATTTGTTTTCTGTTGTTGTTGCTGCCTCAAGGCACTTGCCACTCTTAAAAATATGTTATGTTTGCAAAAATACAGTGGGAAGTTGAATAAAAGGCAAACCACTGCAGCACTTTAAAGGATAACAGATTTATTACAGTGTAAATTTCTGTGTATGAAAATCCACTACTTCAAATATAAAGGAGTACAAATACATGTCTTCTATATTTACCTGTATGGTGATGAAAGACATGTCCAGGTGAGGATGCAGAACACTGTTGTGAAGGCTCCTCACCCGAAGTGTTTTTTTGTACCTCTTGTACAGGTGTCTAGGGATAGATTGTAATTTCAGTAAACGAGCTCCCCTCTGTATTAGCCATTGAGGGCCATTGTACAGTTGTAATGTTACAAGAGCAATTTTATACTTGCAATAGTGAAAACCGACCTGTCTTGTCATATTAAACTCCAGCTTAATACTGAAAAAGCATTTCGGGGCAGCAGAAAGTACAATTAAAGTAGTGTTGCCAAAATAATTGCTATGTAATAAGTGTTCTGTAGTTGAAAATAAATAGAAGTAAATACAGTGTGGATCTCCTCCATCATGTGACTTTCAGTAGTGCTGGAACAAGATATTGCTGATTAGAGTGAGGACATGAAAATGTAGAAGATGACAGGTAGAGATGGGGACGACTCACCATTTTGCTGAGTTGTCATGCTTCGTGAGTCATCAGAAGTTGACGAAGCACGACACTGTCCCCATAAACTGACGAAGCACAAATTTATTTGTCAATTCATGGGGGTTTACTTTTTTTTTTTAAAAAACTGACCCCCTGCTGCCCCTACACCACCCCTGCCCTCCACACCCCACCGTAATTGCCTTCCATTAACGGACAAGACATTCTGTAGTAGTGTAGATCGAAGTGTAGTGCTCTTGCAGTGGGCTCGAATGACTGTCCCCATAAACTGACGAAGCACGAATTTATTTGTCGATTCATGGGGGTTTACTTTTTTTTTTTAAAAAACTGACCCCCTGCTGCCCCTACACCACCCCTGCCCTCCACACCCCACCGTAATTGCCTTCCATTAACGGACAAGACATTCTGTAGTAGTGTAGATCGAAGTGTAGTGCTCTTGCAGTGGGCTCGAATGCTCTTCAGTGCAAATACTTGGGTGAAGAAAAACTGAACCTATTGCAGCATTAAAGCAACTTCCTTATCTCATACCATGCAGCTGTGGCTTTCAGGTTATACAGAGGAATAGAATGGAACAGAATAGAAATAAATAGGAATACTTTTTTTTTAAAAAAAATTGATAATAAGCATATGCAACAGAAACTTTGCTATCATCTCTGTTTAGAGCATGAAGACAAGGAAAAGAAAGAAACAGTAACAGGTAGTTGGTGTTTATGGTGGTTGAATATTGAAGAGCATGAGACATGAGAGAATGGTTAGTTAGCTTGGCAGTGCTGTATTAGCTTTCAGACACAAATAGTTACCTGCTTTGATGCTTAAGAAGCTTGGTTTACAAATCCAGTACTATATCTTTTTGCCTGAATTGTTTTTTCAGCAACAGTGCTTTTGGACAAAATTTAGAAAAGTTACCTTTTTTGCACTACAGCTTTCAGAATCTTCCAGCCAGCATGGACAAAGAGTTGTACAAAGAAATCTTACTTTGGGAAAGCCATTTAACATCTTCTTGATCCATTTGAGGGAAGTGATAATGTACTATCTGTTTGAAGCTTACCCAAAACTAGCTGTTTGCTCCTTCCTCATGGTTGAAGATGAGAGTGTGATTCCCACAATTTTAGAAATCAGAAATGTGTTATGACATATTGACTTCCCACACAGCATGCTGTTTCTAAATACTGTCTACAGTTACTAGGCCATACGGTAGTACTATTTTCCTGTACGAAGCCTAATAATAGTTACCTCATGCTGCCAATCTTTCAAATATAAAGCTTTTATATCAGGACATGTTGGAAAAAAATCTCCAGTGATATGTTGGGGATTGTCTGAGAAAAAGGCAAAACCAGTGTGACGGGGCCTCAGGTAAAACTGAAAAGCTCAAGATCATTTGGGAAAATTCCAAAATCCAAAGGTCAAGTTGATCTGATCTCTAGAAATCTAGACGTGGAGAGCAGTGGTTTCTTAAGAGTGTTCAGGAGTAAACACAATTTAAAAAGCTGGTTCTTCACTTAAATTAGTTGGTAGACAATCAGCCACTACTTTGAGCAAGACAAGTTCAACAGGAAATACTATTCTCATAGGTGGTTCGGTGTGCTGCATCAGGTGCATGATTTAGAAACTGGCGAGGAGTGGGTAAGGTTATTGGGCTGTACTATTTTATACTGTTGTTTCATGAGTCTTCATGATAATAGCTTATGATAGCTGCTAGCAATCTTGCTTGTTACTCTGATGAGGAAGCTGGAAATTTCTAGGCAAAACTATGTATATTAGCATTGTCCAAGCTGTTAATAATATAATAATAATCTTAGAACTGCAGAGCAGGAAAGGACCCTATGGATCATTGAGTTCAGTCCCTATCAAGGAGGCACAGTGGGGAATTAAATTGCCAGCCTCTGGTTCTGCAGCCAAAGACCTAAATCAGTATTTCTTACTAAATACAAATACAGTACTAATTTTAAAAAGCACACAAAATGTTGACACTGGCCTCTTTGTGGAATATTAGGCACTACTGAATGTTCTCAAGGGCACCTATGTTTAGCATTATGAGAAATTCAAACAAACAAGATTTAATGAAACCTGAACTTTGTTCCATTTCGCCTTAAATGTCTGGATTCCTGCCCCTCTGATTCCGCTCGTCCAGTCCCTGTCTTGTACCACAACTGATTTAATCTTCTTGTCATCACCTTTAAA